TAGTATAGGGTTATGAATGTATATTCTCATAATTCCTTGTTCTAACTATAAAAAAAAAGATATAAAAAAAAACAAAAAAATAGTTAAAGTTCTATTTTTTTTTACAATTTTGTGATTAAAATTGATTTTTTAATGATATTTGAGAAATTAAATTTTTTGAAATTCATTTGATTAGAATTCCATTTATAATTCCTTGAATAAAATAAAAGTAATTGTTAATATATTAATCATATTAGAACGTTAGTGNACTATAAAAAAAAAACAAAAAAATAGTTAAAGTTCTATTTTTTTTTACAATTTTGTGATTAAAATTGATTTTTTAATGATATTTGAGAAATTAAAATTTTTGAAATTCATTTGATTAGAATTCCATTTATAATTCCTTGAATAAAATAAAATTAATTGTTAATATATTAATCATATTAGAACGTTAGTATAATTAAGAATTAGTTAATTTGATATACTACTTTATAATATATATTATCAAGCATATTAAAATATTAAAAAATTCAAGTTTTACTTAAAAATACAATATTATCTATTTTCATATAAAATCTTAATACAACTTAAAAAGTTTGTGACTGAGGAATTATATTGATGTAACATAAATAGATTTTAAAAAATTATATATACGGTTATTTTTTATCTTGGAAATAAAAGGGTTAAAATTTTCGATAAAAAATAAAATACACATATGCAAACACTAGTTGTTGCACGTGTATCATTTTGAGTATAATATATTTTGTAAAACCAAGAACCAATTTTACAAATCTACTTGTTTAGTAAATGTTGATAATTTATCAATGAATGACCACATCTATAACAAAAAATACCAATGTAACATTGAATAGAATAGTTGGAGAAAATACATCNATTTATCAATGAAGGACCACATCTATAACAAAAAATACCAATGTAACATTGAATAGAATAGTTGGAGAAAATACATTATTCTTTATTTCTGGTCATTTTCAAGTCCTCAACATGTTTGAAATATAGACATCTAGTGATAACAATAATGTGGGTTTCTAAGATCTAGGCATTTCGACGTAGGTTTCATATATTAAGATTTATCAGTTATATTTGCAAAAAAATAAAAATTGACAAAAAAAGCCTCTTAGTAGACAATGAATGACCATGTAAATCTGATATCNTAGACATCTAGTGATAACAATAATGTGGGTTTCTAAGATCTAGGCATTTCGACGTAGGTTTCATATATTAAGATTTATCAGGTAAAAATTGACAAAAAAAGCCTCTTAGTAGACAATGAATGACCATGTAAATCTAATATATAGTTATCATCAACACTTTCAGTTCTTGAGTAAAAAAGAAATCCAACAATAACTATTGGTTAGAGATAACGAAAAAAACAAACAATGTTCATATCTTCTAATTATTAGTAATATGGAAAAATGAATCATGAGGACAAAGGAAAAAAAAAAGAAATATAAAATATATAAACAAAGTTCAGTTAATTTGCATTTATCCAAATCAAAAGAAAAATAATTTTTCTCATGTCTTGATAAATATAGAAGCCTAGATTGCAAGAAATGTATGGAAGTCTATATGCACATGAGGACTATACAAATATGACAATAACACCCAATTACTAATTGCCATGAGAAAAAATTAATTAAATTACCTAAGAATGGAGAATACCATGGGAAAGCGTAATAAAAACTTTACGGCGTCCGCTATATACAAAAGTTGGGTTTGACCGAAGTTAGTGAACCACCCTCATGTCGACTAAAATTAATATGCTAAACTATGTGAAAGAAGTAACATAAAAACAGTAATCTTAAATAAAATAAAATAAAATAAAAAAAGGTAATCTGNTGTCTTGATAAATATAGAAGCCTAGATTGCAAGAAATGTATGGAAGTCTATATGCACATGAGGACTATACAAATATGACAATAACACCCAATTACTAATTGCCATGAGAAAAAATTAATTAAATTACCTAAGAATGGAGAATACCATGGGAAAGCATAATAAAAACTTTACGACGTCCTCTATATACAAAAGTTGGGTTTGACCGAAGTCACTGAACCACCCTCATGTCGACTAAAATTAATATGCTAAACTATGTGAAAGAAGTAACATAAAAACAGTAATCTTAAATAAAATAAAAAAAGGTAATCTACAAAGTTATAAACAATTTCTAGGAGTATGTATGTCTAATATGACAAAATAGTAGTGACAACGAGAATCACAAGAAAGATTTTAGTACTTACATGACTTTAATAGTACTTCAATCCAACAAGCATTTATGTAGACTCAAATATATTAACGCATTAAAAAAAAACTGATTTTGTTTATAGAGTTTATTGTCTATGATCAAAATGGAAAAGAGAGCATGAAGAAAAGAAGAAGCGTTGAAATTGCTGCNATATGACAAAATAGTAGTGACAACGAGAATCACAAGAAAGATTTTAGTACTTACATGCCTTTAATAGTACTTCAATCCAACAAACATTTATGTAGACTCAAATATATTAACGCATTAAAAAAAATTGATTTTGTTTATAGAGTTTATTGTCTATGATCAAAATGGAAAAGAGAGCATGAAGAAAAGAAGAAGCGTTGAAATTGCTGTNGTCGACTAAAATTAATATGCTAAACTATGTGAAAGAAGTAACATAAAAACAGTAATCTTAAATAAAATAAAAAAAGGTAATCTACAAAGTTATAAACAATTTCTAGGAGTATGTATGTCTAATATGACAAAATAGTAGTGACAACGAGAATCACAAGAAAGATTTTAGTACTTACATGACTTTAATAGTACTTCAATCCAACAAGCATTTATGTAGACTCAAATATATTAACGCATTAAAAAAAAACTGATTTTGTTTATAGAGTTTATTGTCTATGATCAAAATGGAAAAGAGAGCATGAAGAAAAGAAGAAGCGTTGAAATTGCTGCCATTACAATTATAAATACCAAATTACAAAAGTAACTTGGTGACTATAAAGGTGCCCTAAGGAAGACAAGGGATTGCGGAAACTGAGAGGTTATATATAGATAATTTAATGGATGGTGAGACATTAAAAGTCACTCAAATAAATAAATGTATTTTATAATAAATACTTATTCAAGTGCATGGTATTTTGGATATTTAAGAGTTATTAGAGGGTAAAAGAGGGAAATAAATATTTTTTCAATATGTGTACATTTAGAAGTAGTATAGATATAGATAATGTTATCTTTGCATTTGGGATGTATAATATTAGATTGATGGAGTTTTTAAAGATTTTTTGAACACTTTATTGAAAATATAATAATGCATATTTTTTAAAAGGTAATATAGTCAATCAAATTTTTTAATAGAAATTGATATTTATACATAGAAAATAGATAATTAAAATGAATTTTAGAGATAATTTGGAGATTTAAATACGTAAAGATATGATGACAATTTAAATATTTAATTGTAAAATAATAGTGTGGTTTTTGTAATTTTTTATAAGAATAAAATACAAATTTAAAATTTTTTCATGTTAAGATATTTTTATTAATAATATAAATGTGTAATGTAAAAAAGCACGCGCGATTAAGAATTTGAAGTTTAGAAGGCGACAAATTTGATGAACCTTTAATGGTATAATTCAATTTGTCAATTGTATTATGTTGTTTTGGCATTTAGATGACAAGATAATGGTGAGAAAATTCTCTATAGTTGGGTTGGTCTTGCCAAATTAATCCAATAATATGTTATAGGTTTAATTACACAATGTCTCCCTAAACTTTGTGTCTTATTTCAATTAAATCCCTCTAGTTTAAAATTAAACAATTTGTCCCTTTAATATTTGAATAATTTTTAATTAACTTCTACAATTAGTTGACCAATGTTAAAAATGACTTAAATTATTCAAAAACCCACAACTACCCCTATCTTAATATTTTGTGTAAAAATCAAAATCAAAAGAAAAAACTCAAGTCTAGTAAAAAGGCAATTCTAGTGAAAAAACCAAATCCCTTTCCCCTCCATTAAAATTGAAACTCACCCCCACCCTTCTCACAACTCCCTAATCCCTCTCCCTCCACTGAACTGAAACCCAANTCTTCAAGTGGGTAACATTTCTTCACTTGATATTTGGGTTTCTTGCGGTTTGTTCTTGGAGATTTGGTTCACTTATTTTGTGAGGTATTTTCCTCTTGTGATTTACACCTTGGTGTGTTTGTAAGGCTTATGCCTTTTTGGCCACTTTGTAATCTGATTTGGTGATAGTGGAAGAAACTGACCTACCGGTCTTCGTGGATGTACCTCAAGTTATTTGAGGGAATCACGTAAATCTTNTTGCATTATTAAGTTTAGTTTCACAATCTCTCAATCATTGATTTTTATCTAATATTTTATGACAAATGAGAGTAAAAATATAAGCTCGTAGAACTGAAGAAAGGAAGATCACATGTCTTAGCATTACGAAATTCCATTTTTATCCTGATTTGACAAAAAAAAAATTGAACAAAACAAAATAGTTGGGAGCAATATGACATTCAAACCATAGTTCTAAATGTAATATGAAAAAGTAGTTAGTTTAAGAGATAATATGAAATAGGAGCATAATTAATGGGTACCTAAATATAATTTACTCTATTCGAAGTTCTTCCCTCCAAAAAAACAGAGGCCCACCAAATCCCAACTCTATCTGTAAGTTTCCAAATCCGAACTCTATGTATAAGTTTCCAAATCCGAATTCTATTGTTACTTGGTCTCAAGGTCTCCCAATTCTAATCCATCTGTCTCACACACTCTCTCTCTCCCAATGGCAACTCTTATATAAACATACTTATTATATATATCGTCTTCAACATTGTCTTTCTACCCTAATACCACTCTTCAGTATTGGTTTAAATAGCTTGTTCTTCCTCATACAAATATATATATAGCGGCTGAACCACTTGAATAGTGCAGAAGCGGCAAACAATGGGTTCTATTGAAATTGTATGGAGCAATAACTTCTAGGATGCCATGACTAAAATTGCGGTTATGATGGAGAGTTTTCCAATCGTCGCCGTCGATACGGAGTTTCCGGGTTTCTTGCATAACACCCCACGAGCAGCCTCTGAATCTGAACGGTATGATGATCTGAAATACAATGTGGATAGGATGAAGATTATACGGCTGGGTATAACATTGTTTGATCGGTTTGGGGTAGTAGGGGGTGTTTGGCAGATTAACTTCTGCAACTTTGATCCTGATTTGGATGATCATGTTTCCTCTTCCATTGAGTTGTTGGAAAGGAATGGANTGGCGGATGCAGTTCAGATTGCCTATCAAATGGAAGATAATCTGAAAAAGAGGGTTTCTTTGAGGTCTTCGAGACTGTGTTAGAGTAGTTAGCATATTTAGATTTAGGNAATGGTATTGATCTGGTAAAGAACAAACGAGATGGGGTAGATGTGTACACGTTTGCTGACAAGTTTTGTGAGATCTTGGTGAGGTATGGTAGAGATAGGGTTCGGTGGGTGACATTCCACGGACTCTACGATCTAGCTTACATGTTGAAGATTGTGATTCGTGATGAATTGCCAAGTTCGATTATGGGGTATGTTGAACACATTGGCCATGTCTTTGGTCATGTGTATGATGTCAAGTTTATGGCAAAATATTGCCACGGGTTGTTGGATGGTGAACTAGGGCTGGAAAAGCTCGCCAAACTATTAAATGTGGAGCGATTTGGGGAAGCACATCAGGCTGGTTCGGATAGTTTATTGACTGCTGCTACGTTCTCCAAGATGAAGGGTGTCTATGGGCTACCAGAGAGGATGTTTGAAGGATTCTTGTATGGGATCAGTGCTAGGATCAAGAGGCCTCGTCCAATGATTGCATTTTTGCCACAGCCGCCTCAGCCAATTTTGTTGGGATAAATCCGATGATGAAGTTTCATAGCAAAGTGATTTCAGAACTCATCATTATGTATAGGTTCTGTGTCCATACAAAAAGTTTTGTTTTGATTTTTACATAAAAACTCAATTGTGAATTGATAAAGTTTTGGATTGTGCTTAATTTTTTGTCTACTTGTGAAGATGTGCTGTTTAGCTGGGTGTTAATGTGGGTGTCTGTGTTTACAACAGTTGCTTATGGAAAGACAGAAGATGCAAAGAAATATTTATTTGGTGGAAATGCTTTCATAAACATTTGGCCATTATCTTTTGTATCAAATACCAAAACTGTAGGACCAGTACAACTGACATGTTTTATTACTTAAAATATGAACAGAGTATTCCTAAAATTGGACAATTATACTTCATTTTGTAAAAAAAAAAAAAAGGATCTCACTGGCCATAACTTCAAAGTAGAAACTAGCAGCAACTGAATCTAAATTTCAATGGCTGCTATTCTGTTAAACTTGATAAACCAAGAATTTTGACAGAAACAAAGAGACAGTTCCTTGCACATCGGCTTAGCTCTCGTTTGCTTCTACCCCATACAAATTCTCTCAACATTCAAGCACTTGCATTTCCACCATCAACAGAACTCCAAGCAGGAAAAAGTACAGACCACAATTTCAAGCAACTAAACAATGTATCAGAACAGGATCTACCATTTCCCTCCCAGACAGAATTGTGAACATAACAACAATGCTGAAAGCCACAAGATAAAAGCAAATGGGTAACTGAGTTTTCATTTTATTCTTTCTCTCAATTAATATGGGCAGTCTGTTACTTCACTGTGTAAGAGTGCTTGCCATACAAATTATCGGAGAAAGCCATAGTTAAATGGTGTATCCAGTGCATGAGGCTCTCGCCGTTGCAGGATTTGGGGAGGGTTAGATGTACGCAGCCCTCGTAATTATGTTATTGTAACCAGCCACATCCATAGTATGTGATTTTAGATAGAGGTTTAGAAATAGTATTTCTTTTCTTAATTGACTCAATGTACAAGTCTTCTTATTTATAGAAGGAGAGATGTAACAAATTCTATAACGAGCTCATCTACAGTTCACACAGTTGAATCGGGGAAGCATGTTTGTCCAGGATTATACAAGAAAGTTCTATAGCTTAGCCACCCAATTCAAGTTCCCGTGGATTGAGGATGTAATTATCACAATGTATATGCAATGGTTCAATTCAGAGATTTGTTTAGGGTTAGCTACAAATCTTCTTTACGCTATGGCGGATGCAGTTCAGATTGCCTATCAAATGGAAGATAATCTGAAAAAGAGGGTTTTTTTGAGGTCTTCGAGACTGTGTTAGAGTAGTTAGCATAATTAGATTTACAGGTAGCTTAGTCATTTGCTTTTGATAACTTTGATCAATCATAGAGATCATAAGAGAAAGAAGAAGAGAATATTATTGAGGCACAATTAGCTAGAGCATCATAATGGAAAAATACATACAAGAGTTCTTTATATAATAGTGCAACATAAAAGAAAACAAATGACTAAGCTATTCCTAAGTCTAAATATGCTAACTATTCTAAAAGTCTACAACTCAAAATGACAAGAATTTTGGGGATATAAATCTAGGTAAGTCATTTGATAAACTACTAGAAAATGCTTTTGTCCCTGGTGTTACTTCTAATTTTCAAAGGGGTACTAATCATAATGCCAAGACGAGATGCTTTAATTATCAAGGGTTCGGTCATTTGTCTTTCCAATACCCTACAAAGGTTGTTGCGACAATTGAAAAGGAAATCCCANTAGGTAAGTCATTTGATAAACTACTAGAAAATGCTTTTGTCCCTGGTGTTACTTCTAATTTTCAAAGGGGTACTAATCATAATGCCAAGACGAGATGCTTTAATTGTCAAGGGTTCGGTCATTTGTCTTTCCAATACCCTACAAAGGTTGTTGCGACAATTGAAAAGGAAATCCCAAAGGAGGCTAAAGAATCTAACAAGTCAGATTCCGAGATTCAAGTTATGGAGTCTCTTGATGCTAATGATGTTGATTTTGATGATTTGATTGACGGTCCTATATTGGGTGTTATTCGTTATCTATCTATTGGAAGTAAGGTTACAACTGAGAAGCCTAACCGTTGACAAGAAAAGACTTTATCATGAATTCCTCAAACTATTTTGTCAGATTGTATGCTTGGCCCTCTTCCTTACTTGTCGGAGTCGAGTTTCNTGATTGACGGTCCTATATTGGGTGTTATTCGTTATCTATCTATTGGAAGTAAGGTTACAACTGAGAAGCCTAACCGTTGACAAGAAAAGACTCTATCATGAATTCCTCAAACTATTTTGTCAGATTGTATGCTTGGCCCTCTTCCTTACTTGTCGGAGTCGAGTTTTTTTTAGAGTGAGCGAATTGATGGTGTAGCAACAGGATGGTTGGACCAACGTGACCGAATTTGGATGCCTAGGCAAAAGGCTAAGAATTTTTGGTCTAAAGGAAAATGTAGTATGTACTTGGTAGATTTGTTAGGATTTTTATTTGTCATTTGAATTTTTAGTTAAATAGTATTTATCAAATTGAGATTAGTAGAGATAAGTTGATAGAATTTTAGTAATACAGTAGTTCATTTATTATAAGACACTTGGTAAGGTCGTATTAAAGAGTGGATTACAGAGTCATAATAAATTAAGACTCTCTAATCCAACCTTATACAACATTTGGTTGCAAAAAATACTATATATTATATATAGTCTTATTTTAAATTCTTATCCAAATAATACATTGTATCTGTACTATTAAACTGATTATAGTACCACTTAGGGATGTGGTATTATTGTTCAATTCAAGTGTATCAAGTTANAAAAATACTATATATTATATATAGTCTTATTTTAAATTCTTATCCAAATAATACATTACTTATCCAAATAATACACTGTATCTGTACTATTAAACTGATTATAGTACCACTTAGGGATGTGGTATTATTGTTCAATTCAAATGTATCAAGTTGTAAATTTACTATTTTATTCAATAGATAAACAAAAACATTAATAACTATGCAAGATTGATATTTTTTAGTCAATATGTAATTGTTATTCTATTATCTCATTTTTAATCCAGTGTCATATCAAGCACTGAATTACAATGCGCAATATTTTTGTCTCATATTTAATTTTATATTTTATCCGCCTACACAGAATTAGCCGGTATTACCTAATAAAATCCATTCTTTTATAATACGGCAACCAAACGAGCCCTTGGNCTATTATCTCATTTTTAATCCAGTGTCATATCAAGCACTGAATTACAATGCGCAATATTTTTGTCTCATATTTAATTTTATATTTTATTCGCCTACACAGAATTAGCCGGTATTACCTAATAAAATTCATTCTTTTATAATACGGCAACCAAACGAGCCCTTGCTCTATAAATAAGGATCTACTCTACATTATTTTGATCTGAGTTGAATATTAGTTTAAGAATTCTCTACGAATATTTGTGTTCCTTGACCTAATTCTTGTGAGGATCCCTTTTCTTTCCCTGCCCTCCCTGTATCAGCGTGTCTAGAATTGTGAGATTGTATGTAACTCATTAAATATTATTTTTGTGGAAATTAAGCAGGCATGGTTTATGGATGAAAGTAGGGAGGACTAGAGGCTCCCTCACCATCGAGGCCCACCAGAATTTGTCTCCTTGGATTATTTAGCGACGATTGGAGTCTTGTACTGGCACTAATCATATCTGTCTTATGTTTAAAGTTATAAAATGCTTTCAAAAGGTGGGTAAAACATGTTTAGGACATGTCAATTCCATTCTTGTTTTCTGTTTGTCTAAGTAGTGAGGAAACCTCTTTCATAACATAATGAAGCTTATTACCATTGCTTGCGATGGATGGTAAGACTAGTATTTTTTTTTTTTTTGGGGGGTGGGTAAAAGTATCCAAAGATCAGATATTGCAATATGCCTACGATGGTTTACATGGTTTTTAACTACATCATTGCTTTCATTGCCAACATTCAGTTGTTAGTTTGCGATGTTTGCACGTCACTCATTGTTGCACAAGTTTAGTATTAAATGGGTTTTAAGTATTATATTTATTTGTGAGTGTATCGATTGTGCATTTAATATTATTTTTTATATATCAAGTTCTATAATTAATAGGAGTATTCATTGTAAAAAAGTATGCTAAATTAAATCGAAATTATCTGTAAGTGGTAATAATGGTTATGGAAGAATTACTTGGTCAAGTTTTGTAGCTGCTTGTTAATTTTGGTGGTTGAGTCTTCTTATTTTCCCAATATATTTTGCACCTTCAAAGATCATTATTGTGATGTTGCGTGTTTTCTATCTTGTTAAAGCCTATAAATATTTTTTTCTCTCTTGAATTTTAAGAAGGTGGAAATTTAATAAAAAGATTGGCTACGGGTTAATTCTGGGCTACTGGGTCTATAGGTCTAACATTTGCTACAGCTGATTGGCTTTGTGGTTGTGGATCTGTGTCCGTTGGGAGGATCTGTTCCTTGAGCAGCATGTGCAGCCAAAGTATTTATGATGGCTACATACGACTAGAACATTAGCGTAATTAGGAATTAGTTAATTTAATATACTACTTTATAATATATATTATCAAGCATATTAAAATTTTAAAAAATTCAAATTTTACTTAAAAATATAATACTATATCTATTTTCACATAAAATCTTAATACAACTTAGAAAGTTTATTGTAACTGAGGAATTATACTGATGCAACATAAACTGATTTTAAAAAATTACATATATGCTTATTTTTTTATCTTGGAAATGAAAGGATTAAAATTTTTGATAAAAAAAAAATACACACATGTAAACACTAGTTGTTGCACGTGTATCTTTTTGAGTATAATATATTTTGTAAAAACCAAGAACCAATTTTACGAAATCTACTTGTTTAGTAAATGTTGATAATTTATCAATGAAGGACCACATCTATAACAAAAAATACTAATGTAACATTGAATATAATAGATGGAGAAAATAC